CATTTCCGAAGGGGTTTTGTATAAACTACCTGTTTAAACTCCGTTTTCCGTTAACCAGCTGTCGCACCCCTACGAACGACAACCCTCAGAAGTCGACACTTGTGCGATCTAAGAATTAACGAGGTCTTACCTTTCAACGTGTGATTCCTAACACTATATTAAATATAATCTGTTGAGAGGAAGTTATTTTATTGTCTCAGCTTCAGGTTGTCAATAAGAGTGTGTGAAATAACGTATCGAGAATCACTAACCATCATTTATTAATTTATGTCATAACAGAACTCGATAGTTATACATAATTCAGCATAAAATGAGGTGGATTGAAGTTTAAACTATTCAAATTTTATACGTTTAATTTCATCTGCTTTGTTCTCCAAATTAGAAAGTAGTTGTTTCCGGCAGGTATTTGCCAGATCCTACAGTGCAGGAATATTGTTTTTGGGTTTTCTAAATATTCTGACCCCAAATAAGAAGTACTGTTTCATATTTTTTTTCACAATGAAAATTCGCTTTTTATCAGCCTTCATTTTGATTTTTTCACATTGAGGTTCAGTGGTTAAAAGATCAGCTTCCATTTCAACAGATTCTAAGAAACAATAAATCCTAGATTTCAAACCCAGAAAAAGGTAAGTATGCTTTTGGATCTGTCAATTCTCTAATGTGAAAAACCGAAATGGATGACCTTACATCGCGTATGAAACTTTTTGACGTACTAGTACTAATAGTTACGACTAATTCAAAACTGATTAGATGGGATTAGATATACCAAGAGAAAAGTTTGTATCTCCTCGAAATACTTAGGCAACCACTGCTAATAAAGTTTCTGTTATTTATATTTTTGCGTTTACTTTTGTATGCTATCTTTACCTCAATACTTATGATTCATTAACTAAACCCCTGTTGGAGACCTGTAACATTTCAAGAAACAATAAATTATCCATCTGTCTAGGAATCGCACGCTGAAAGGTGGGACCTCGTTAATCATTAGCTCGCACAAGTTTCAACTTTTGAGGGACGTCGTTCGTAGGGGGGCGACAGCTGGTTGATGGAAAAACAGATTTCAAACAGAAAAACAGATCTATCCATCTATCTATATTCTGATATACATTTTGAATATTTTGAGACTTTTTTCCAAAAATTGAAATAGATGTGGGTTTGCTTGCAGATTCTATGAGATTCTGAAAAGGTTTGCATATTCTCACTTTCATTTGGAATGAACTACAAGTTCAATTCACTTTACATACTCGTTATGTTATAACTGATAGGTTAAAATGCGAGCAAATCCATAACTTTCCAAATTTTGCTAAGGAAATTACCGCAGGTCATGGAATTTTATCGAATTCAAAAATCATACTTCAATGTGAGATTTCCACTTGAGAGTTCACAAAACAGCGACACGTGTTTCGCTATACAATAGCATATTCGGGCGTCACAATACCGAAGATACTATTGTATATGGAAACACGTGTTGCGATTTTGTGAACTTTCAAGTTTGATTTTTGAATACTTATAACGGATTTTCATTTTTGTTCTATCGGTTGGTATTTTATCTCAAATTATTATACACGAAATATTGCATGCATTTTGAACTATCAAACTTGTTTGACAGATATGTATTGAGATTGTTTCCGAAAAAAGGACACCATGAAATAAAGTCTAAAAAGGTTTTTGAAATAACATTAAATTATTCAGTTCCGAAAATTAAAATTGCCTATCATAATATTGATGTGGACAGCTGCTGTTATGAGCATCGCTTTATTATCATTCTAATCGGTCAAACATTCTAATCGGCCTTCAACTTTTTCATGGGAGGCGAATAATCAATGAATAATCTAAATATTCACAAAATTTCGATAACACGTAGTTGTGGAATTGCGAGAACCGAAACCAAATGTCTCCGAATGAAGGCGCGCAAAAAATACTTTTCAAACATTCTCTAACATAGCGACTACATTCCAAACCAGACCAGCATAAAAAGTGGCTCGAAACATAAAAGCCATTCCGGAATTGGTGGTTCCAAATTCTTTATCAAACGGGACTCGAATATATCAGCATAAACGAGAATGTCAGTTTTTATTGAATATTTTCGACATAGTCGCTACAGTTAAATCGAAACAGCATTCAGACAACGACGTAAAAAATGGAAATATTTCAGAAGGGATGAAAATGACATCTGGACACTTTAGGCTTTATGGTGGTAGTTTTGTTTTGTTGCTGATAACAGTACTAAATGTATTGTTATCGGTTTGGTAATGATACTACAGATAGAATTATCTATATTCTGTAGTATGACCAATAAACTCCATATGTCTTGGATTTTTTTTTGCATCAATTTTTCATTCGATGGAGATGAAAAGTATAAAAACACTTGTAATTCGCATGACTTACCTCGCGAATTATTTTTTTTTATCAAAAGATTCATATGTCCAAAATATCCAAGAAATATATTAGAAAATATCGGTTCAAATGCAATTTTCAGCTCCTTACAGATGGAAAAATTAATTAGTTGTTTTTATTTGTTTTTCAACATCAGACTGACTCAACGCAACATATATAGGGTCTTCCTTTAAGCGCTTCCTTTCTTTAAATTCAAATAAAACAGTGATATCATCGAATTTTTTTATTCTTTTGAGAGACATATTGATGCCATTATGTGTGGAATATAACAACTTTCAAATGTCCTCCACGGCTTCTGTGGGTGAAGCGCATCCGAAAAGTCAATTTGACCGATGACAGTTTATTTTGGCTTTGAGGATCGCTGTGGTTTGTGGATTATTCTCGTGTCCTCAAATCGCTCGTGCAGAATATCCCATGTGGCACGAGCTGTGTGGCATGTAGCACCGTTCTGTTACGACATGTCGTTGATGTCCAGGTCATCCAATTCTGGCCAAAAGAAGTTTGTACTCATCGACCTTCAGTGCTTGCCGTTGACAGTGATGGCCTGGCCAACGTCGTTCTCTTAGAAATAAGAACCGATGACATCTCCAGCCCAAAAACCACACCAAATAGTGACTTTTTCGAGTTGCATTGGACGCTCTTGGATCTCATGTGTGTTGGTCTCGTCCCAAATTCGACAGTTTTGTTTGTTCAGGTTCCCATTTATCCAGGATTTACAGAAAACGCCCCAGGCGAAGCTCTCTGGTTCACAGATACAGGCTTGTTTGGCTATCAGCACCACACCGTCAGCGGCTATGGAGATCCTTCTAGATCTACATCCTCTCCACATTTTTCTGGAGAGAGAGGCTAGATGGACTCCATATAGACTTGTGCACATTGCCAATTGGACAAATCTATTTAATGCAGAGTGCAACAGACAGTTGGTTGACACTGGCAGTCACTGCATCCTGAAAGTGACCTCTGATTTTAGCCTCCAACTGTCAACTACGAACTGCATTATGAAGTACTATTCCCGAGTAGAGAGGACTGGATCCTCCGGGAGAAGGAAATATTAAGAGCTTGGTTCACAGATGGACCTAAAACACCTTCAGGTTCCGGTGCAGGTGTTTTCATTTGCAAACCCAGAGCGGAGATATCAACCTGCCTTGGAACCTATATGACTGTATTTCAAGCGGAAATTTACGCTATTGAATTGTGTGCGGAGGGATTGGAAGAATCCAACCTTGCACACAAATCAATAAAAATATTCCCGGACAGTCCAGCGGCGTTGGTAGCTCTTAGCAATGAGGCTGATGACTTCCTTGCAAATGAAGATGCTGCAAACAGTTTCGTCGGACCAGAACCTGTCATAGGCATCGCTTTAGGCTTTACCAAACAAATATTGAACGCCTGGATGGCAAGAAGATTTATGGACTTCTGGCAGGATCTTCCAGGATTGGCTCACTCCACGTTTATTCACCCTTCGAAGCTTGATACCAAACAGTCGTTGGCCTACAGTAGAGATGAACTACGATATCTAACAGGCCTTCTTACAGGTCACTGTCATTTGAATTATCATATGCAGAGACATGGACTGTCGGAAGACAGTGTGTGTCGCCTCTGTTTGGAAAATGATGGAATAGCAGAGCACATACTTTGTGCCTGCTCCGCTGGGGGACCGAATCAGGTTTTTAGAGTACGGCAGAGCCGTACTTTTATCATCTGACCTGAAAGACCACTCACCATACCAACTTCGTTACGAAGCTGGGTTTATTTGATCGAGTGTGAATAGGTGTGAGCCACAATAAACCCTTGCGGGTTGTGGCGGAGGGTCGAATAGACTCTCTCACTTTGGACCTAACCTAACCCTAACCCATTCATCCTGAAAAGGGTCTCTTCGCTGAAGATGATTTTCGATTCAGCGAACATACGTTGTTGAATGTGGTAGTTTACCTTCATAAAGGTTCAGGAGTGTTTCATTTAAGTGAAATTTTATATCAATACTCTTAAGTTGTCTAGCATTCTTGTGAATGCTTTTGTTTCAATTCCATAACGAATGTTTGAAGTACAAACTGAATATGAAAAAGTGATTTTTATATAATTCAATGTTCATATGAAAGTAGTTGTTTCGAAAGAACTTTTTTCTTTTGGAAATGTGCTATTTCTCTGAAAGGAACTTTTGTGCATAATTATATATTACATTTTGAAGTTAATTTGTCTCTTCCTCTCCTCTAAGTTTTTTTGTTTCAAGATGGAAAACTAGTAAGCCAATAAACGCTTTCATCTCAAAAATAATCTCTACTGAAAATGTTCGGGATTATTTTTATTTCATGTACAAAATAGTTAATGGAAATAACTGAAATACATAAAAAGGAAGAAATTACAAAGATCGACGGCTTTGAAACCCGAAAAATAGTGAAAACCTCGACCGCGAAAGACCTAACCATTCAATACATAAAAACACTTGACACAAATTTTCATAACATTGTCCACTTGCATTCAAACCTTACTCAGTCGCCCTGTACATTTCCACAAATCTCACTGGCGTTTAAGGTCTGCGGTACACAAATAACAAAGGTTGTAAAATTATCTCCCCTAACTAATCCTTTTTTTTTTTGTTTCAGTACTACGAAATGTCCTACGGATTAAACGTCGAAATGCATAAACAGGTAAGTGGAATGAATCATTAATTATCTCCCTTTTTCATTTTATCAGAGAATTCCCCTTTTCGCGAGGCAATTTGAACTTTTCGTCTGTTAAATATTCATCAGTGAAGTAGTTCAGATAATAGCTTTATTATTTTTAATGCGCGACCGGACATGGAAATCTACTTAATCCTCGGCTCTGCCTCGGGCAGTTTGTTTCCACCCGGTACCTCTCAACCCGACTGTTAAAGCTGTCATTTCGCCGGATTTTATATTCATAAAGCCTGCATCCCACTTCTGAACGATTTTCAGAAATTCTCAGTATGAATAATATTATAGTGCTTCTTAATCAGACTGCATCTTCCAAAATGCTATATAGTACAGTATAGTATACTATAGTATATAAAAAGAGTATATAAAAAGTATATAAAAAGAGAATTTGAGTTTTCCTTGATGCAAACATACTCTGAATCATAATCAGCTCCAGATACTTCAAAATTGTTATATTTAATAAATTCGTTCAATTTAACTCTACATGTTGAACCACCAACTCGGAGTTTTGTCAATCTTTTATTACAATTGATAACCTCCATTGTTTGGTGAGATTGATATATTGCGCCCTGTTATATCAAGTAATGTTTCTATTCATGACGCGATTAATAAATTTGAAAGAATTAAGACTGAATGCAGTTAGGTTTCCAACAAGGCAAGTATTATTAATGCAATATTTTTATTGTAATTCGACTGTGTAGATCACAGAATATTGCTGAAGACACTCCACTTGACCTGGCCTGGTTCTAGTCGTACCTTTCAAACCGTAACAATTCTCAGACACTAATTTCGGGTCAACAACATTGAATATAAAAACAGGCATACTCCAATGTACAGTTTTACGACCTTTATAATGAGCTGACCACACCCAACATCAATAAATTCTTCTTTAGTCAGATGGTAAGCATCTGACTTGAAAGACCACTCACCATACAAACTAATCGGCTTCGTTAAGAAGCTGGGTTTTTTGGTCGAGTGTGAATAGGTGTGAGCCACAATAAAACCTTGCGGGTTGCGGGGGAGGGTTGAATAGACCCACTCACTTTGGACCTAACCTAACCTAACTGTGTATTGCTAATACAGTTACTTATTTCAAGTGTCACTGATGAAGGAAAAACATTCATTACTTGTTTTGAGTTTTCTAAATTCAATATTACTAGCCATTGTATCGAGTATCGTAGACTTGATCGTAGATGTATTGTATATTGTTCTTCTTTTTCACGTTACAAACTAGCCTTCCAGCTAACCTAAACCCGCAACATACTTGAACATAATTCTTTCCGCTCCGCCACAACGACATCCAGTTGATGAATGCGTTCCGCCATAAAAGTTCCGGCAGCTCGCGACTTTGAGACCGGAACAGAAGTCATTTCCGGGAGTTACGAGGACGTTTACTATGCGGTTACTCGCCGAAACCGACCGAGGGTAAGATTTACAAGCCGGCCGCTGCTCCTGTTTTGTAAAGTAGCCTCGTCTAACAGACCCCTGTTTACTATTTAATTGCCGATGTAATGCCGGAGCGGGCGAGGTCCGGTCTCCGGAGGATTCGATTTGCACCTCCAGGAAGTAGGGTCGGCATCGGAAGAAATCGGTGGATTGATCAAGGAGTTCGTGTTGGAAGTTTTGTTGAAGTTTCAAACTATTGTCGGGATTGTCGAAGGTAATGAATTACACATCCGTCCGGTGTGACTATCTGACTGAAATTTTTAACTCATTGTTGGAGGGAAAGCGGTATATTCCGGATTGGTTTGAACTTGTATGATAAGTTGTTTACTAGCAGACAAGATCCATTGTAGGAGTCGCTGGATATAAGAAGAACCTGCTCATCGATAAATATCTAACGTAAGAATCAATACAGTAACCTGGATTGATTACCGAAAGACATTTGATGCAACATCGCATAAGTACATCTTGCGTTTGCTCAGATGCCTTACGGTACCCAATATAGTGAAATGCCTTGGAAAACTGACACAAATTTGGAGGAATCTCTTCACCATAACATCTAATCAGGATAGGGTTCAATTTGAGCAGGTCATTTTCAGAAAGAAGGTATTTTAGAACGATTCCTTCTCAGGAAAACTGGCTCCTTCGCACCTGTTTTATATATATGGATGACCTTGAAGTTTATGTCTCTTTAAAAATACACCCCCACAAGTCCTTGGAGGAGGTAAAAGTTTACAGCAGAATACGCAGCTCGTATTCATGTGCAGTTTCAGCACAAACTTCAACATTGGAACTGTCGGGGAAGAACATGGTTGCTGCTACTTACTATACTCCCGGGAGGAGCTGTACCAATTCAACATAAGCAACCAAAATATCGTAGATCTGTCAACTTGGTTTCGAAATCGTTCCACGGTTATACTTCCCTCGACAACAGGATGGCCGTGGAATTTTAAATTTAGAGTGTCGACGTAATAGAATGAATGAAATGGTACTGGATGGAGCTTGTAAAGTCGTTACGAATTTGAATTTCCTTTTTAGCATAAGAGAGCTGAACTTAGTATTAGCCGCGGAGATTACTTCATTCTTGCAGCTACACAAAAAAATGGCAACAACAAACATTGAAGATCTTTGTATTCCTCAAGTTGGAAACTGGAGATTTATCAAGTCGTGTCGAATGTTGTCCTTCAACACCTCATTCTTACCATAGGCATGTGGTTATATAAATATTTGTAACTGTTTTTCTCATAACGCTTCCACTTGGAGATGTGTTAACGAGATAGAACTGTTACTACTTCAACGTACTCAAAACATGGTTCGACCTGGACAGCACCTCTATCTTGGTTAGATAATAATAATAATAAAAAATGTCTTTTCAGTTATATTCATACATGTGAACTAAAAAAATTAAATGGGTTAGATTCAGTGTGGAAATCGGCACTGGAAGGTGCCGACTAACATCTGTTCTTCCACAGATTGGTCCTGCCAGGAGAGCAATCATTTGAATATATAAAAAGGTTGGGACAAATTACAGTTTCGACTTCAATTCGAAACTTATTTTATTAGCATATTTGGAATTTGTTAAGAAATTATTTCTGGAAATTAGTTCTAGACACAAATGTCCCCCACTAAGTTCAATTCCTCATATATTTTGCAATTGGATGGTCATATGATTTCATTATACTTTCGAATTTTTCTTCGGAATGGCCCGCGACAAAGTTTTTCATTAATTCCATGGTCCTTCGAGCCGGATCATTTCTCCCTACTCCCAGTTCGGTCACGTGTTCTCGATTCATAAATTCGACCACCGCATCGAGAACAAATAAAGAAACCCGAAACCTGACCCCATTTCGAATAAATAATCTCGGTATCCTCCCCGAAAGCAGTACGGTGTGTATCACATGCCGCGCAATCATAGCGTAGAAAATCCGCTCGCGAGGCACATAATCAATTCAATCAAGCCCTCGAAATGTCAATTTCCTTTTTTTATGGGCGCCAAAACGACCCCTAGCCGTATAACCCCTGTTAAACTCCCCCCGTCCCAATGTATAAAGTTAATACCATATTCTCGAATAACATTCGCTACCGTATTACGTTTCGAGGTTGGATTCTGGACAGGTTGTTGGAGGCACGATTTCAGCGGTTCGTGTGTTGAATTCGTCAGAGCGGCGACGTTATCTTAGTACGGGAAAATTAGGATATTTTTGTGCCACTTCCAAGAAATATCAATTGGTCAGTAAGTGCAGAAATAGCTTTAACGAGCACACCAAGTTTCATGATATATGTTTATATAGAAAATTCAAATTTTATAAAGTTTTCATTTCATTTGGCAATAATTCTGGTTCTTGGTACTTGAAATTGTTAATTAAGATGAAATTTTATTTTTTTGGAGCATAATTTGTGTATTCTGTTTCTCTATTTTTTTTTCTATGATAGTTAAACATAGTAAAGTCCTCCAATATTGAAAAATTCAATATGTTCTGAGTATTATATCTATAGAGTATTGTATCCCGTACTTTCCTGTCAAAGTTGCTACTTTATAAATGTTTTCCTGAATGAAACGTTGATATTCAAAAATAGGTATATTTTTCCAGTTTTTCCTATTGACGTTTTCAAGATTTTGAAACCGCTTCACCTGGTTGGGGACCCATATATAGTGCTGATAGTCTGTGTCTGACTTCTTATCAGCTTTTTCATTTCCTTTGATATGTGGGTGTTCTAGCACCCTTCATAAAATTAACTTGTTAGCCATTTTTTTTCAGGTCTTCTTGAAATTCTAGGACCAGTGGTTTGATTACATCAATATCTTGAGTGTGGCCAGACTATTGGTAACATATTGATCGGCTCAGATATCAGAGTATTGTTTGTTCCACTTTGGTGAATTGATAATGCTCCCGCTTGGATGTGTATTCAAAGATGGAGTAGCTATGAAGTAAATTTCTACCCGTCCCATGTTTGGTTTGAACCTGCCTGCATATCAGGAGCTATGCCAAGCATATTCTCTGGATGACTATTCATCATCCACTCTTGTGAAGATCATAATCCATAAACGTGTTCGATTTCCTTCTGTATTTAAAAGTTGCTTTGCACGATCACTTATAACTCGATGATTTTTCCAGTCCAAATAAGCTCAATATTGTCCGTTTCAGCAAGATATGAAGGGGTAAATTTAGGAATGACTTCAGTATTGTTATTGGTTTATTTTGTGGTACTTAACTTTTCCATTATTTCAAAACAAGCAAGCGAACAAAACCAAACCACCATTGAATATTGCCAATACTTCTGGTTGTATTCCCAATTTCTTTCCGTAGGTGCATCTGGGCAGCATCAGTAGCACCTTCTCCTTTTCTAGTTTCCAAATTAGCCTGAGATATAGGTTAGGTTACGTTCAAAGTGAGTGGGTCAAGTCGACCCTCCACCGCAACACGCAAGGGTTTATTGTGGCTCACACCTATTCACACTCGACCAAATAAACCCAGCTTCTCAACGAATCCGATTATTTTGTATGGCGAGTTGTCTTCCAGGGCAAATGG